TAGTATTTTTTGTTCATAATTATTTTAAACTTATTTTAAAAATTATTTTTAACTTTTTAGTTCGATGTGCTTTAAAAGCGTGTTTTTTTAGTTTTTTTAAACTATATTTATTTTTCACTTTTTAGTTTTATGTTATGATAGTAATTACTATCAATATCATGGTTGTAACGGGTAACGGGAAATAAGGGTTCGATTCCGGGGAGGGAGTCTGNTAGGTATAACCGTATTTTGTGGGCGGGCGGTTCGGACTAACGTTATACCTGAGGTATAAACGGCGGTAGGAATATATAAATATATATACGTAAGACGCATTAGACGCGGGCGTATAACTGACCAATAGGTCAGTCAAAATAAAAATTTGTTTATATATATATAATATTGATGACAAGCACGCGTGTACGGGTACTATAACCAAAAATAAATTTATACAGGAATAGTATTGCCGGCGTATTGATGAGCGTGGGGTGGGGTGGGGTGAATGCGTTATGACAGTCTAGTCTAGACGACGGAATATGCGATAACGTGTGGCGTTTGGAGAGTTACAAACATACATACATACATACATACAGGTGAAACTAATATAAGCGTGTTAACAAAATAAACAAAGATAGTAGTAGATTTGACCATTGTTCGTTATCATCTCTAAAAGTATACTTGAACTCGAAATCGTACCCCTATGACAATTTGCGAATGGACTTTCCGAATGATAAGTATGCTGTACCATATCACATGACACCCAATTCCAAGAGGCGTTCTATGAAAAGGAGATGGTATGTCTTATGTTGACAAAAACAGAATTCAAGACAACTGTTCCACTCATTGCCATTGATTGTTCAAGGCAAAACAAAAAATTAAAAAATGCGCCAGTAGATATTAGATTAGAATTTGAATCTGATGAAAATTTTTCGACCAACACTACAGCATATTGCTTAATTGTGCACGACAAAACGTTTGAATATAATCCTATGACTAATGAAGTTCATAAAATATTATAATTTGTTTTTTATTTTTAAATAATGTAAAACTTTAAATTTATAATATACTATGTAAAAAAATAAATGCATACGACAGTGATCTTTACTGTATGGTGGTACATTTGATGTTAGACATATGCTTACCTAAGCATGTAGTAGTTGATGACAAAATTCTTAGAAATTATATCTGTACATTTAATATTAATAATACACAGACAGCGCCGCAATTGTTCTTATATAAAATTACAGACGCTTATGAGCGATACAACGTGCTTTCCCACTAGGGTCCTAACAGCTGGCTAAGCTGTACCTAAACGAGGCAACACTGGCCCTATATAATTTATATCCTACTAAAAGGGCAGTTGGCGGTTTTGTGACGAAATAAATATTGACTCTCAACTAACAACGATAACAAGCATTTATTTCTATATAATATTATTTAAATATAACCTGACTGGACCTCTAGAGATGTTGGTGGTATCCAAGTTAGGAGAGCGATAGCGGCGAGTGTACACAACCCGAAATAATAATAATAAGTAAAATAATAATATTTAATTTTGTAATCAAAACAAAATCGTGCAAGTTAAGTTATGAGGTCAATAAATGTAAGTTGCCGCAAGCGTGGTAAAATGGCGACTGACTTCATTATGAATTTAATTAGATTAAGAACAGTGTGAAATCGGTTTGTTAACGCCCGCGCGCCGTATACTAGTAGTTGAGTTGTAGGGTCGTTTGTGTTGATCAGGCAATAATATAGTTGTTAATTTGTTGATGTTGGTGAAGGATGAATAATCCGACCATAACAAGCGATATAATATAATGAAAGGTTTGATGTTGGAAATATGCTTACCTAAGCGTCTGGTAGCCGACGATAGAATTCTTAGAAATTATAGCTGTACATTTGATGTTGGAAATATGATTACTTAAGCGTCTGTCAGACGATGATAGCTATTGTTCTCATAAAAATATTTATCATAATTTCAATTTGACACCTCATTTTTAGCACCCCTTTTTAGCGCCTAATTTTTAGCATCTCTTTTGGTTACACCTTTTCCCTGGTTGGTGGGCGGACTGGTAAAGCGGTGGCGTTCGTTTAATAATATATGCGATATGGCAATGTAATTAGTGGTCAATGGAGTAATCTTTTACTTATGGGGGGTTGTGATATATCAAACGCGTGGTCTCAAACGTAGTTTACGTTTGGTTTTGTCGTTCCCTCTTCTATTACATTAGGTTAGTTTACGTTGGGTTTAATCCCCCCCATACATGCCCTCCAACACCACCAGAAGGATAGTGAGTGGAAAAATCGGAGGGGAGGAAAGCTCTATCTTATAACCCTACTGATGTATTTTTTCTTTGTGTGTTTGTTCATACATTATTTCAGCTCTCCCCGAACCGATTTCTTTAAACGATACACTAAATATCACAAATCGTATGTAATTAAAGACCTTACTCCCAAAATTGAAAAAATAGTTCTCGTTCCTCGTAAATGAGGGAAATCTCTAAAAAAATTACATATTTAAAAATTGTTAATTTTCGAAATTTTTTAAATTTTATTTAACTTTAAACTGCCATAACTTTTTTAAAAATCAATATAATTTTTATTTTATAGATGTAAAATGTCTATACCTATCATTTGATATATTTTTTTTATAAATTTGACCCTTTACTTGCCCATAGAGGAGGATTTAAGATGACAACATTTTCAACTTAAATGTTGAAAGTGTTCCGGATACTCTTACACATTTATATATATATATATATATATATATATTAAATTAAAGCTAATATAGTATATTATATTATGGAAAAAAAAATTTTGGACTTTATTTTGTCTTCACGGTGAAAATAGTTACTAAATGGTATTTTTGTGTGAAAATTCTCGATTTTATATTTTTAAATTTACAATGCTATAACTTATTGAAAAGTGTATGGATCAATACAATTTTTTATGAGAAATAATATTTATATCCCTTTTTTATTCGACATACTTTATCTTAATCAGGATATAAATAAGGAAATATCAGATAATGTAGCTTTTGGAATAATCCACCAATTTATTAAAATTGAACACTATCTAAAGATTTTTATGATAGTGATTTTAATCCCTGTCAGATATCATTATGCTAGACCCAACTATGCCACGTCACCACTGTACCGCAACTCTACTGTGTAAAATTTAATTATAATTGTAAAAATCGTTTGTTAAATTCAGGTGAAGATAAAAATCATATTCATTGACACAGGCGGATTCGAGCCTGGTACTCTAGGCGTAAAAGACATAAGTGTTACTGATTCGACAAGTATCTGTCGCTTTTGTCGGGTGATAAAATTGACAATTGTAACGTGACAAAAAGTATCTGTTTATTTTTTTTGTCTATTTGTATATATAGATATTATTTGTGATTTGCTTGTGCGCGCTCGAGATAGTCAGCTGTGTACTACTTCGAACCGGTTCATGGACGGCATTTGTGTGTACATTCACCCCGCTCTTTTCCTATCTTGAACGTCTTTTGCACTGCTCACCACCTACATTGTCGCCTTATGATATGTGATTATTCAACTTTTTCTTGATAATTTCCGGCACTGAGTATTAAAATTTGTTGACCCCACTCTAAATGCTAACCGTGTTGTCGCCAACGGACCGCCGGGTCAAACGACGGAAGTTTTGTCGGGGAATTGCCATAGTCAGAACTGGTCGCATTATTTCCCGTCCGTAGCGTAAGTTTTTTTTGTGGTTGTGTGCGCTGCAACATTTTAATTTTATATATATTTTTTCGTGAGTGTCCGCTATTATAATTTGTATAATGTAATTTTTTTTTATTGTCGTCGGCTAAACCTGCCTCCAGTTTTTTGAGCCCTTGGGGACTGGTAACGTATAAGTTTTGTTTTAATGTTTTTGAGCCAGATTATTTTTTTTTGTGCGCCGTGCCCTAAGCACGCCTGGCGAATTTTTTTATATTTTTTTTATAGTTTTTTTGTGTTGGTGTCCCTATTTTTTTTATTATTTAGGTCCCTCAACATGGCAGGCGTGTTACAAGACCACCTGTTATGTTATATCTAGATTTTTTTTGTATAGGTTTTATATGAAATGATACTGAGTGATGCATAGATATATGTATATATTATTGGTACAATGTGGTGACGTAGTGCATTTTATTCCGGGGCGTCCCAACGTCTTGCAAGCTAAGTCTAACTGCCTAAAACCAGTCGCTTATTTGGGACGTATACCCGCCGTGCTTAGCGGTAATGCCGTGATTAATAGCCGGTGGGTACCCGAAGACGTTCATCGTATTCTCTAATAATAAAAGTGTAGGTGTAACTATTTTTTTTATTAATATTATTTTTTTTCTTTCTTTGTCCCCTTTAATTTGCAGACGAGGTTTTTTGACCGTTCGGTTTTTTGCCTCGTGTTTACTTAATTTTTTCTGTTTTTTTTTTTACTTAATAAATTTCCCTTAATTTAACTTAACCATCATATTTTTTTTTTGCGTGTTCCATCTTCAATGGACTCGTTTTTTTTCCTTTCAAAAATCAACTCCCCTAGTTTATAAGGTACGGGCAACGGCCTTGTATAAGGTCATCCCTGATTTATATGGTTATGTGACAACTGTCACGAGGTTTTGGTGTACATCTACTATCAACGACTCAACGAACATCAACGTTAATATTTATTAATTTTATAATTTTTTTTAATTGTTTTAATATACAAAAGTTAATTTTTTTTAAATCCTACTGTGGTCCGACAATACAGTGTCTCGTCCAGTGAGTTGGCGACCCTTTCTGTTCAATGTGCCATGGAATTTTCAAATTTTTCGTTAAGGCCAATCAATTCGATTTTATTATATTTGTAACCTTTCACAATCTGATTCAAATTTTAAAGTTACATTTTCTACTGTAATTTTTTGTAAAAATCACTGTTTAATATAAAATATTGTAATACTGAAAACTGCCATAACTTTTTGAAAAATGTACAAATTACAATTTTTTTTTTATATTGAATCTTTAGATATTCTTTTTTTTATTTGATATACGTGTTCATTAAATTTGATTCTAAACCTGTCCACATGGGGGGATTTAAAAAAGAAATTTTTGCACACAAGTAAAACTTTTTTAATTAAATTTTTGAATATATTGCGGAATATTGACACTTTTATGTACATCTTAAATTAAAGCTAATGTAATTAACTTTATTGCGGAAAAAAAAATTTCGGACTTTATATTTTCTTCAGGATGAAAATCGCTACCGTATGCTATTTTTTCTATTATTAATCCATAACTTAGTTCTAGTAGATTACAAAAATTATCTCAGTAAAATGTAATTATATGGTCAACGTCAAGTAATTAGGATTAAGATGAGGAAAAGAAGAAGAGTCAAATTTAATTATTTGTACAAAAAATTTCTCTTTTGTATGACATTATTGTATTGCTTGAGAATTCAAAACTTGCTTACTACTTTTGTAAATTTTATATCGACATTATTCAGCTATTTACTACACTCCACTATGTTACAAAAAAAAATATGCCCTCATATTTTCGGAAATATAACTTTGGTATGAAATGAATGGAAGGAAAAAGAAAAGTTAATATATTTTGTATCAGTTTCCTTTTAGAAGTGATCACATCATTTTAATACATTTTTTTTAGCTTCGATGTGAAGCTGAGGTAGTATTTATATACATCTTTCATTCGACATACTTTTTTTTTGAATCGGACCATTTCTCTAAATACGGGAAAAATGAATATAGAAAGTAGACCTTTTTCAACTTAATTTTTAAAACTGTTCCGGTAAGTCTGACACTTTTATATATATCTTAAATTAAAGCTTATATAATGTACTTTATTATAAAAAAAAAAAAATTCGGGCTTTATTTTGTTTCATGGTGAAAATGGCTACCAAATGTTATTTTTGTGTGAAAATTCTCGATTTTATATTTTACATTTTTTACTTTAAAATGCTATAACTTTTTAAAAAATGTATGGATCAATACAATTCTTTTCATGAGAAGTAGTATTTATAATCATTCGACATACATTTTCTATAAATCTGACTTTTTACCTGCCTACAGGGGGGATTCAAAATGACAAATTTTTCAACTTAACTTTTGAAAGTTTACTTTTGCATTTAATTTATCTTATTTTCATATAACTTTTTATCTTTTATGGCAGTATTACAGTTATAGTAATTAACATTAATATACAGTGAAAAATGTTCTAATACTCATTGACACATATATTTATATTCTGTGTACATTAGAGTTTTGAAAATATCATCGTAAAAACTTAAATTAATCATTTTATCGCTTGGATCAATATTTTTTCTATGATCCTATTATGCATAAAATTAAAGTTTATTTAATTTACTTTAAGTTACAAAAAAAATTCCTAACAGTCAATTTTTTAATGTAATTGGCTGTGAAAAATAAAAATCGTAAGACTTAAAAATGACAAACTTGCATCATAAAATTTATGTTTTATTTTTTAGCTTCAGTACGAAGCTGAGAAGGTATTAATTTTACTATGATGTGTTTTTTTTTGTGTCTCTAGCAATTTTTTTACAGCTCTCACTGGACTGATTTCTATCAACAATACGTCAAAAGATCACAAATCGTATCTAGTCAAAGAGCTTACTCCCAACTTAAAACTGCCATAACTTATTAAAAAATGACCAAATCAATATAATTTTTATTTATATATACACAATGTCTTTATCTATCATTTTTTTCATAAATCTGAAACCTTACCTGCTCACATTGGGGATTTAAAATGACAACTTTTCACAAAATATTAACTTTTGAATGTGTTCCGAAAAGACTGACAATTTTATATATATCTTAAACTAAAGCTTATGTAATATACTTTAATATGAACAAAATAAATTCGGTTTAATAAAAGTAAATAAAAATTTTCCTAGCGATCAATTTTATAAACTCGCTATTAAAACTTGTATTAATAAAAGCAAATTTAAAAGTTCGAAAATTGAGAAGTAATAATAATATTATTGAATTGACATATATTTCTATTCATTGTAAGCTGGTTATGAACAAAAAGTCATCAAAATATCATATATGCTGACATTTTTATACGCATGGCTATATAAAATGCACAATAACATCCATTATTTTTTTCCTTAACATATCATTATAATAATTTTTCAGTTACTTGTAACAAAAAACCATGCTGGTTTAAAAAATAAATTATCGTATCCATTGAAACAGTGAAAACTTTTACAAATTTTG